GCACCTCGTCTCAAAACCGCACTTGGTCTCAAAACTGCACCTCGCCTCTCACCCACCTCGATAGTCGCCTCATCAGTCACGTCGAGGGGGGAGGACGGTCAGCCGATCCCCACTGCTACTGGAGCCGCATTTGAATTCTCAAAAGCGCATCGTCTGTCACGCACCTCGATAGTCGCCTCATCAGTGACGTCCAGGGGGGGAACGGTCAGCCGATCCCCGACTTGACTTTTGAGTCGGCGCAAAAACGCACCTCGCCTCTCACCCACCCCCATACATAGACGCTTCAATCGAGACCTCATCGGAGGTATCCGTTGGCGGATTCAACTGCGACCGCCCCGACTCCGGCCTGTGCTCCGACGTTTAGAAAATAAAGATTATAGTTTTGAATTTTGGGATCGAGTTTTAAATAAAAAGCAACAAGGTATATCAGAGTTACAGATATTATTAAAAATGAAATACAGTCAGATATTTGTTAACAGCTATAGCCTATGCGGAAGCGTTGAAAACTTTACCACAAGCTAAAACTAAGCAACACTTAACTTCCCTTAAGGCCCTCCGAGTGTGACAACTTGTCACCTCATGGCCAAGGGCCTAGAAAAAACATACAAGGGAGTAGTTATGCTTATCTCGCTTGTAGGGTGAGAGATCTGGTCGAGCAGCGTTTTGGCAGCACCATGAGAGCGCTTCTACTCTTGTCAATACGTAGTAGTAGAATTCCAGAGTGAAAGCATAACAGTATTCATTGTTCCAAGCAAGTACAAGCATGCATTTTATATAGACTCCTAAGCACACAGAAGGAAAACACACAAAACGGTTGCTTAACTGGAGTTCAGGACTTCGCCAGATATGCCAAAGAAAACGGTTGTCAAACTACTGCGGAATTTGGCTTGATTTGCATGTTGAAGAAAACTGTCTTCAAATTTCATGTCTGCCAAATGCCCTTGCTGACTCCACGCATGAGTGCTCATGAATTCTCGTTGGCAATTATGAACACTCGTGTGGGATTACCGTTTTCACTGTTGAAAAACGGTTTTTACCGTTTTCTCCCTGTATCGAAAATGTCGCGTTACACGCACGACGTTTCCGGCGAAGCTACTTGTATGCCGAGTCAACGCGGGATTCGGTTTTTCAACCGCAATCCCGAGCTCGTCCTTTCCCGCAATCATGCACGGCCAATATTTCGGTCGTGCAGTACTATGCACTGTTTGAATATAACTTTATGCAGTATAGACTGTAGTGCATGTAATCTTTTGCTGTAGGTGGTGCACCTCCTTTCTTGCCTATTTGTACTTGTCCCTCCATAGTGCAACTCCTCTTTTGTTTGGCCAAACTCTCTCGTCACCTCCTAGCCTTGCTCTAAACTCTAAGCTATGGGTTCTAAGGATGTTCCTAATCTACTCTAGTTAACCTTCAATTCTGACATGCATTGATGTGCGCAGTGCTGCGCGTGGGCAGGGGGATCATTCGCCCTGTTCTGTTGCGATCGTGCCCACAGTGCACGCTCCCAACAGTGCGAGGCACACGCGTGGGCCTGAGGGCCCACACGCACGATCAGAACCCCACTCGCGGGTTTTGATATTTTCGCGCAGTTGACCTTGACTGACGAGATAAAATTCCACGAGTCAAAACTGATTCCTCGTGAACACTCGCGACTCTTCATGAGTCTTGCTTCGTGGGGACTCGTGAGACACTCGTGGATCTGCATAATGCTCCCTCGCCATGAATACTAAATGAATGCTCATGGAAATTCGCGATGCCTCGTTGTGAGCTCTCGTGAATGAATATGAACTCGCCATGAATGCGAATGAAGTGAAGTGTCAAAATGAATACGCGCGAACCGTTCGTGTGATGCGAAATGACGTGCAGGCGGCGGATTGATGTGCAAAATAAATATTTGCACCCAACAATATAAACAGTTATATAGTTGAAACAACAGGAATAGACTTGTTAAGTGTTGACTACTATTGAGACTAGGAACCTCTAAGCGCACCTTTAATCACCACTCAGTTATCCCCACGGGGTCACCTCCAAGGGTCCTCGGGTGCCTGGTAAAACCAGCCCCTAACCAAGGGTCCGTGTTTGTAGAGGGATTTCCCAAGTGTGAAACTAATCGTGTGCTCTAGAGTAGTCACAAACTCCGTTGCGCAGCGTTAATTGACTGATTGGCTCGTGTGCAGATAATTCCCCTCACGTCAATACGATGATAGAGAATATTGTCGAACTTATATGCTATAGTCTTTCTAGGCTGTAGTGGGATAGACACGTCCAGGGGGAGAACTGTCAGTCGATCCCCGACTCGACTTTTGAGTCGGCGCAACAATGCACCTCGTCTCTCACCCCTCAATGGATGCCTCATTGGTCACGTCCAGGGGGGGGACGGTCAGCCGATTTCCGCAAATCTAAAAAGCGCCTCGTCTCTCACCCACCTCGATGGTTGCCTCATCAGTGACGTCGAGGGGGAGAACGGTCAGCCGATCCCCGCTGATACTCTGTAGCTCCTGTAACGCCGCTGCTGCAGCAGGATTGCGACACGTGGCGATGACGTGGCTGTCAGAGCTCCTCTGGAGTAGCTGCCGAACCTGCCAACTGTCGAATGTGGATAAATGAGCCACCATCGTCCATGACAGAGGAAATTCTGGTGCTTGGACCGCATGGTCACTCAGGGGATCTCTCTCAGCCCAGCCTGGCAACCTTGAGAAAAGGCGAACTCTCTCAGTTGCTCTACATGGTATGACCCTTTGAAACGGATGCAAAACATTCCAGTGATGGTTACGAAGGAGATATACCGAATTAAGATGAAAGTACAAAAGATACCCGTCCTTCACAAATGTTTTCAGGGGGTGGGAGCGGGAGGGGGGAGGGGGGAGAGGGTGAACGAATGAGCGTTTTCCACAGAACATATGGAAAAGGGCAGCAGTGCAAAACCAGCAGAGAAACCAGCACGGAAACCAGCAGAGGAAAACGCAGCAATAAAACTGGCAGAGAGGAAGATCAGAGGCATGTACCAGCTCCAGCCCGATGCCTCGCGACGCCCCTTGCACGAGCGACACCTCCCTCGCCGCCTTCGCACCGTCGCGAACCGTCGCAAGCGATCGACATCTAACGTCACGCAGCCTGGCTCGTCTCGCCGCATCGACTGGGCTCCAAGTAACGGAGTCTCCTGAAGCGGCGGACCGCGAGAAAATGGAAGATAACGACGAGAGAGTACCAATACCGCGCGAGGCGGCTGTGTCCGGAGTTATGGGAAGGTGTGCGACTCGGCCAAAAGAGACGGAGGACGCCGATGAACCAACTTGAAGGTGCTGATTAACGGAGATCGCAATGGAAACACGAGATGCCGCGAATGATGCGAGTCTAAGGGCCATGGCTGGCAATGCTGCAAGCACACAGCTTAATACCGTCTAGAATGCGCCGTAGCTCGGAGCTGCAAAACGACTGCAAACAAACTCGACTCATCGCAATATTCACTGCATAAAAAGGTGCGCTTCTCGGCGCTCGCTCTCCAGTGGACGAGTCACTACACGGTGTGCTCAGCTCGAGGTGAGATAGTGAACACGTAGGTGGTCTTGCTAGGAGCCATGGATTGCGCCGTCAAGATTACTCCACGTTTCATGCTCGTAATCCGCGATATAACGCGGCCCAGATAGCCTCTGGAATGGCTTTTGTGGAGTGTTTAGTAATCTTTCTGTACATTCAATAAGGAGTGTTCCAATTTTTCACAGTTTGGCGGTGGTTGGTGGTGTTTGCGGTTCTTCTGTGTGCGTCGACGCTGACGCATCCAACGCTGGTTATGAGGTCAGGAAGACGTGCCACGGCAGGAGGAAACCTCGAGGTCCGTGGCAATCAGGCCTCTGCGTGGTTTGTGCGGTCGGCTGAAGAGTCGCCACGTCGGATGCGTAATCCCCTAGAAGACTCCTTCAAACCGAAGCACAAGTTTACCGTGTCGCCTGATGGGAGGCCACCACCAGCCTCGGAAATTCCCGCCAGAAACTTCTCCCTCGATATCACCCCACCTCGGCCAAGCCAACCTCCCAACCAGCCCCGTGCCTCATGAAAATCGTGACACCGTCCAATCTCCCGCACTTTTACAAACCAACCGAGAGGAAATACTACCTGCCAACAACTAGCACCTTCCCCACCACAACGCCTCCCATCAGGGCTGTCGCCAGCAGGGTGTTTGCCCTGCTGGACCTTGAATTCCAGGGCTGGGTTGCCCTTGAAAGCTGAAATTGATGGGTTGCAAATATTCTGGCCCTGATTCCTTACAGGGCTGATTGTGGGCTTAGGCCTGGTGTGTAAAGGGTAGATTTTAGGCGAGCCCTGGAACAAAATCTTTCGAGCCCCCACCCCTCCCCCCCACCAGCTCCTCCACTCCCCCCTCCCCCTCGTTTCCATCCTGGTTGCATCCAACCTGGCAAAATTGGAGTTGCGTGGTTGGGAAAAGAAATCAACTCAACCTAGAACTTGTGCTTGCGCCAATCACAGCTTCGCTCCCTTGGGAGTGGGTAGAAGTGCACAAAATCTTCAATGCTGTTAAGGGTCGGAAGCTTGCTAAGCGTGCGTAGTGAAATGACGCTAACTAGTTTTTTGTTATGTAGTGTATGCTTGTTGTAGTACTTGCGTAGTGAGGCTACTAAAATTTCCGCGCCAAACCTGAATTAAAGGGAGGAAACAATTCCAGCCCTGATTTGTCCGGGGGGGTCAAAACCAAACGACAGGCCTGCCTCCCATGATCCCATCCAGCAGAACAGAACACATCCTCAGGCAGAGCACCTCCAAAAAGTCTCGAAATTCCTGGAAACCGTTTCTGCTTCATCCATACATAATCCACCATTCCATCTCAGTACCTCTTTCCCACCAACGTTCGTTCAGGCCGTTGTATTACTCGCACGCAAAGCTCGCGTCCAACTCGCCTTTCACCGTGACATTTCGTTCAGTTTCTGGTAGTTAACGCTGTAGTGGTTGTCCCTGTAGCCGTATATTTCAGGGGCTGCATCCCAATGGCGCCGACAGTAGAGTACGTTCTCCTCCATTATGATTCTGTCTGTGAAGACTGACTGACATACCTTGGCTTAACCTGCCTGAACAGTAGTGAATGGTTGCAGATGCATATTCAGATGACAGGTTGTTAGGCTGAATGTAGTTGAACATCGCTGTTCCGTTTTTCAGTAGACTCAGTTGAACACCTGAAAGCAGCATTGTTCCGCAACTCCGAATTCAATTGAATGCAACGTTATTCCGCTAGACAAACGAATTCCTCTGACCATCTTTCCTGTTTGAATTTTAAACTGCTGCAGGAATGGCGTCATCTCGCCGCTGTTCACGCTAGAAGAAGACGCTGAATTTGTTACCCAGTCCGAGCCAGCCCGCGTAATTCCTGCGCCTATCACAACTTGCTTCTTCGGTAAGCCGTAGCCATTCAGCCTCGCGTAACCAACGCACTTCATCGTAGACAACTACTAACTAGCGGTTTCAACGAAGCATCGCGTTCTTGTAATTCCCGTTCCACCCAATCATTGTGGTCCCGTCGCCAGGCAGCGACTCATTCAAGGAGTTCGCCAGTGTCAGATTACAGATGTTTGTGATTGTGAACTCACCGCTGTGTGTACCAACATGCTTCCATTTGTGCTGCAGATTTGGATGATACCCTGTATCCTCGTAGCGCTGGCCTCAGCTGTGTGAAGAATATTGAAGGTACGGCTACCCTCTGGAGATGGCGGAATGTTATTTTCACCACAAGAGCGCTCCCAGCTTATGAATTTGTATGCTTGCCGAATATTTGTCATCCACATTATGTAAGCATTCGAAGCAAAAGTCCTGTTGTGATTCGTTTTGGTCATGGATACAGAAGCCAATTTGTTATCCGATTTATTTGCCAGCGTTCACTCTCCGCCCACAATATCCCACTTCCTCCTCTCTTTTCATTTCTCAGATTACATGGTTCAACACCTGGGTTTCTCAGCAGACACCGCAGGCGAGGAGGCCATCAGGCTGTACAAGGAGCATGGCACCTCCATGGCTGGACTCAGGGTGAGTCCTGGGCGTAACTCGCAGATCTCAGACTCGATGGGCGTAACAGCTGTCGGTTAGGTAGTATAGTGTAAGGCCTGGCACAGGCGCATTGGCACATAGCTGTAGTGGGTACACTTGGCTTGGCGTAGTGCGTGCACTTAGTGGCCCGACCCGACACTCGGGTTGTGCTGTGGACAGCATCAGAGCGTATTTGTTGTCTCTTCAGCCGTAGGCTGTGTCGGCAGTGTGGCAGGCAGCAAGTCACGGCTCGTGTGTGCTGTGCACCACGTGTGCAGGATGATTTCTGGAGATTTGCTTCAGTAACAGGATTGAGAGTAATTGCGATGCCAAGTGTTTCAGGTTGGGGGAACGTGAGTCTGCTGCTGTGGTCTACATGATGTGATGCTGTCACCAGGGTGCTATAGGCGATTGCGCGATGTGTTTAAAGGGGTGATACACTTGGAGTAGGTGATTCCAGCTAAGTTTCACCACTATTCAAACAACACTGATGGCCTGAATTTGTAAATTATCCACGCCGCCTGCATTGGTCTGTGCTGTGCTGACGTTTTTGTTTGGATTTTTTTTGCAGGCAGAAGGTTACGCCTTCGACTTTGACGACTGGCATGCGTGAGTTCAAGCCTCCTTTTCTACTATCGGAAGCAGTACCACAAGTTACCGCAGGTCACATTCGTTTACGAATCATAATCCATCAAGGAGCATTTGTGGCCTTTGCCTTTAGGAGCTCTCTGTTGCGTTTTGTTTCGTGTCCCAACTCAGATTCACCTCCCATTCTCATGTTGTCTATGTGCGTTTCCCACTGTGTTTGCACCCTCGCTTTCTCCATCCGCGTCTCTCATCTCCCTGCCTTCCTCAACACCCCGCCCTTCTCATTCCTGCAGATTCGTCCACGGCCGACTGCCATACCACCTGCTGAAGCCAGACCCCGCCTTGAGGCACCTGCTGGAGTCACTTCCTCAACGCAAATTTGTGAGTCCCTCGGTTTAGCAGCATTCGATCAGACAAAGCATGCGTAGTTCACAGTGGGCTTGCAGGAGGATTGGCATGACTCCGGTCCCTGATTGCCCCTCTTACATCAGTGAATGCAGTGGCTGCACGCCACCCACCAGGCCCATCTGTATTGGTAGCTTGAATAAGCAGCTTTACAGCACGTGCACCTGCTCACCACATTCCGCTGCTCACCACATGCCGCTGCTCACCACATGCCGCTGCTCACCACATGCTGCTGCTCACCACATGCTGCTGCTCACCACATGCTGCTGCTCACCACATGCCGTTGCTCACCACATGCCGCTGCTCACCACATGCCGCTGCTCACCACATGCCGCTGCTCACCACATGCCGCTGCTCACCACATGCCGCTGCTCACCACATGCCCCTGCTCACCACATGCCGCTGCTCACCACATGCCCCTGCTCACCACATGCCGCTGCTCACCACATGCCCCTGCTCACCACATGCCGCTGCTCACCACGTGCCCCTGCTCACCACATGCCGCTGCTCACCACATGCCCCTGCTCACCACATGCTGCTGCTCACCACATGCCCCTGCTCACCACATGCCGCTGCTCACCACATGCCCCTGCTCACCACATGCCGCTGCTCACCACATGCCCCTGCTCACCTCATGCCGCTGCTCACCACATGCCCCTGCTCACCACATGCTGCTGCTCACCACATGCCCCTGCTCACCACATGCTGCTGCTCACCACATGCCCCTGCTCACCACATGCCGCTGCTCACCACATGCCCCTGCTCACCACATGCCGCTGCTCACCACATGCCCCTGCTCACCTCATGCCGCTGCTCACCACATGCCCCTGCTCACCACATGCCGCTGCTCACCACATGCCCCTGCTCACCACATGCCGCTGCTCACCACGTGCCCCTGCTCACCACATGCCGCTGCTCACCACATGCCCCTGCTCACCACATGCTGCTGCTCACCACATGCCCCTGCTCACCACATGCCGCTGCTCACCACATGCCCCTGCTCACCACATGCCGCTGCTCACCACATGCCCCTGCTCACCTCATGCCGCTGCTCACCACATGCCCCTGCTCACCACATGCTGCTGCTCACCACATGCCCCTGCTCACCACATGCTGCTGCTCACCACATGCCCCTGCTCACCACATGCCGCTGCTCACCACATGCCCCTGCTCACCACATGCCGCTGCTCACCACATGCCCCTGCTCACCTCATGCCGCTGCTCACCACATGCCCCTGCTCACCACATGCTGCTGCTCACCACATGCCGCTGCTCAGTGTGGAGGGCCGTCCCAGCCCATTCGCCATCACATCCTTTCACCCCTTCTTTTTACGTGACTGCCCTCCTCTGCCCTTGTCCACCCCCGTCCACACCAATCCACACTCACAGGTGTTCACCAACGCCGATCGCACGCACGCCAGTCGCTGCCTGCGTCTGCTGGGCCTGGAGGGGTGCTTTGACGCCGTGATTTCATTTGAAGAAGTCATGGCACAGCACCCCTCCCTGCCCTTCAACCTCCGAAACAACTTCGGCCCTTCATGCACCTCTGACACCACTCACGGTTCTGACATCTCTAATGGCTCTGACGGATCCGACGGTTCTGACTGTCTTCTGGACTCCGACCGTGGCCTGCTGCCGTCCGCCCTGCCTCCCATTCCCTCCGCCTCCTCCACTGCCTCCCTCCCCTCGGTTAACCTGTCAAGCGATTGCAGTAATGGCGGCAGTGGCAGCAGCTCTCCAGAGCGTCTGCTACCAATCATTATCCAGGATCAGCAAGAAAGACAATATGAGCAGCAGCAGCAGCAGCAGCAGCAGCGTGATTTAGAGCAGCAGGAATCAAAACAGGTGAACTTACCCCAGGTGCTACCTTTCCGCTGCAACAGTCGCCGCTGCGTCAGTGCAGATGCACTGGTGGAGCATGCCTCTGCTCACCCTCTTGCTGCACACGCTCATCGTGATGCCGCCAGGCTGGCAGCAGCTTCTCCAGCAGCAGCAGCAGCAGCAGCAGCAGCAGCAGCAGCAGCAGCAGCAGCACCAACAGCAACAGCAACAGCAACAGAAGCAGCTGCTGCAGCATCTGAAGTGGCGCAGTCGTGGATGAGTCCGGCCGGGCCGCTCATCTGCTGCAAGCCCCAGGCGGAGGCGTTTCACCGGGCAGTGGTTGGCATCGCGCACGCTGACCCGCACTCATCGGTATGTCCCTGCTGCTCCCATTATCCCAGGGTTCCCAGTTCCCATCCCACTCTCTGCATGTGCTGCTTGTGTGATATCCCTCGTGTTCCTGTCCCGTGCTGTATGCTGGTTCTCGTGCCTTTTTTGCTCGCTTCGCCTTTGTGACAACTCACCAGTGGCAGAATCGACCTCTGTTTTGGGTTTCCGTTGCTGCTCGTGTATGCGGCGATGCCACTATCGTGTGGCATCTATGTCACTGCTGTGACCTCTAGACTCTCGTGTCTGATCCCATGAGACTATTCCGTGTCTTGTGCTGCAGATATTCTTTGATGACAGCACCCGCAACATCGCAGCAGCCAAGAGATTTGGCATGCGTACAGTTCTGGTATGTCATGCTGAGCTGAACCCTTCTGACAAGCTTGCTTGCACCCTTTTTGCCTGTGCATTTTAGTACTACTCACTTGATTATGCAGTTACAACCTCCAATTTTCATATGTGTCGCCCTAAGCTTTCTTGCATGTAACTGGTGCTGTCACCTCACTCCTGATTCGTGATTCCTGCATCGTATGGTTCTTTCTTGCAGGTTGGAACATCACAACTATCAGCAGAAGCAGATTATGCTATGGAAGATATCCATGAAATGAAGAAGCGGATCCCGGCGTTGTGGAAAGTGTATGAAAGTGATGTGACAGTCACAGTGACGAAAGATGTTAGAGAGGCGGAAGGTGTTAGAGAGTCTCCATGCATCTGCCATCAAAACAGAAACATGTGCCTTGTGTTGGCATGAAGCACCTGCTTGTGATTGCTTGTCATGAGTCATGACTTGGTCCTTACAAATAATCAATCATGTCATGTCTTGTCACTCCTGCTTAAGATTATATTTGCCCTTAATTGCAGCACACACGGTTTGAGCATGCACACATACTACTGTATTTGTAATGGTAGTGCTTGCACCCAATTACTACACTCAGCTCGGCTGCTAATCAATGTGCTATACCTATTTGATAATAAGGTTCTGCTTACTTCCTAGGAAATTATTACTCTGCCATAATTCTATGCACTACATTCGTTGTAGGAGCTATGCTCTATCAGCAAAATCAAAATATCAGCCAGTCAAGAAGCAGCCAGAGCATTATATTCATAAATTCCTCAAAGGAAACTCGTAATCCACCTAGAATTACTCCGCTCACAGCTCGCCATCATCCTCTCTCTTGTAGAAGTCATCATCAGCATCCAAGTCCTCGTCTTCATCATCGTCCTCCCCCTGCGGGTCCGTGTCGTCAATATCCTCGTCATTGAAATCCTCATCCTCAGGCTCCTCCTCCTCCGGCACATCCACTATGTCCACCAGCTCCGTCTCAAAGATGAGCGTTGCTCCACCTGGCAGGGGGAGGGAGGAAAGAGAGAGAGATTAGTGGCGATTACCCATCTGCGCCTCCTCCTCCGGCACATCCTCGATATCCACCAGCTCCGACTAAAAAATGAGTGTTGCTCCACCTGGTAGGGGGACGGTTGGAGGGGAGGGGAGGGAAAGAAGAGATTAATGGTTCTCTCCCGTCTCCTCCAGCATGGCCACTATATCCACTGCTCTGTTTCCAAGATGACCATTGCTCCACCTGGTAGCAGAGCCGAGGGAGGAGGGCTGTGGAGCGGAGGGAGGGGGAGAAACAGGGCCTTCTAATTTGCGAATTGGAGGGAAAGGGGTGGGAGGGAGGGGGGGTAAGAGCGGGATGCAAGCGAGAGAGGCAGTAACATTCGAACGGCTTCGAAATGTCAAGTCTTTCTGAGTTCCTCGTTATTGAAGTGATTGGTGAATGCCATTGACAAATGCACTGAACCAGTGGAAAAAAAACAAGGTATGATATTCCCATTCTAGATCAGCCAGTAAAACCATATAGAGGTCCGAGCACAGCTGGACTGACCTGGAATCTTGGGGGGAGAGCCGTTCTCGCCATAGCCCATGTGGGGCGGGATTTTGAGCTTGCGCTTCTCGCCAATGCACATGCCGAGGATGCCAATGTCCCACCCTGTCACGTGTCAGAGGGGCATTCAGGGGGGACGTTCAGAGGGACGTTCAGAGTGATGATGGTGCCACATCGGCTAATCATGAATCAGGAACGCAACCGTACTTCGCAAGGGTGCAATGCAAAAACAGCGCCACTTGCTATGCAGCCTTCTCTGGCATTCACCAAGTCAAATTTGAATTGCCTTTTGTAAGTCAGGCAATTTTCCAGATTGTCTGACAGCTGTCATAACTTTTTTTTTCGGATTTCACTTTTCATGACATTTGTACCCATGCCAAAGCACCTCACCTTTGATCACGTTGGGGATTGTTTGACAGCCAGCGATAGCATTTCTGTCTCTCACCTTTGATCACGTTGCCCATGCCAAGGCGGAACTCGAAGGGGTCGTTGCGGTCATAGCTGGAGTCGAATTTAGTGCCATCGGTGAGCATGCCCTGCCACGCAACATCGGCATCAGGGTTCAGGACATGTCAGGATCAGGAAACGTTAGGCATAAGAACACGTCAGGGTTAGGAAAACATCAACGTCTAAGGTTCAGGGCAGTGTCAGCGTTTGCAGCAATCAACGGAGCAGGAGAGTCAGGCGCGTCGGATCCCAACAAATCGACTATTGGGCATTTCTTCCGTATGCATGAAGAGCGGCGATCGAGGGATCACCAGTACCCTTGGAGCATAAACAAGGCTGCATTGTTTCCTGCTCTCCACCCATGTTACTACAACGCAAGCACTCACGCGCTCACGAAAGCGGTGCTTTCCATTTGCTCCGCCGCATGTTCGTGCACAGCAGCGTCTGACGTGTAAATATGAGCCGCGAGTGGGAGTTCTCAAGATTGGAACGAGGATCACGAACGAATGAATCTGACACAACAAGCGGGGCTCTGGCTTACTTCGCCGCGTGCCGACCTATTTCTCAAGGTATTTAATTTAAAACCAGGGTCACTCGTAGAACAAGTGTTTTGCAGTTGACAGTAAAAATTTGGCTGTGATTGGTTGGCGAGGTGAAAAGTTTGAAGTGGGGTGAAGCGAGGGGTGCGAAGCGATCGTAAATCGCTGGGTGTACCCGAACCTTCTAGGCTCGCAAATCTGGTTCGGAGCCAAACCTAAAATACCCCAAACTCATCGAAAGTCACATGTACTAAAACTTGTTTTGCAATTGCTCCGGAGGCAAAGTCTGGGTTGAGGTTCCAACCAAACCAGAGATAACTTCGCCTGCACTAACTAGGTAACCTAGCTTCAACTGTTTTGCAGTTGATGGCAGTTTTGCTTAAGAATAGCGTTGGAAGGCCGCGATTCGCTTCCGTCATCTAGCCGTGCTATCAAGCCACGTCAGTTCGACCGGTCGTGCTGGAAGCGTCAGCCCGTCTGATTTAGGTAGATTACGCCGTCCTCAATGTCCCTATCAGACCCTTTTCTTTGCTGCCGTCCATAAAAAGTAGGTGCTGCTCTCTCAATAGGTGTCGTGGATGACATGCACTCTGCACTAGTCGCCAGTAACAACTCCCTTCTTGAACTCCCTACCCAATCCTTACTACTCACGAAGGGCAGTTCGGTGAAACCCGAAGGAGCCGGGTGAGTTGAATGTGCGATCCGCAATGCACGGACCGCAAATTACGTGACGCAACAGGTGCTCACCTTGTAATGAACCTTGACAGTGTCGAGATTCTTAGCCTTGCGCGGACAGTCCTTGGGCTTGAACTGCCATCATCCACCAGGAAACACCCGACGGATCAATGTCAGACTAGGCGTAATATCATGTAGTGATGGTTGCGAAGCGTATAGTGGTCGTAATTAAGGACATGCTCGGAAATGCGCCGGAGCAGGTGCCGGAAAAGAGCCTTAAATTCACCTTGACACCGATCTGAAGCTGGGTGACGTCCTTCTCGGTCTTCGCAGCCACTGCACAGAACAACTCTGAACGTTGGTGACTGGCGAAAAACGAAAGAACAAAAAAAAGAAACGGAAAATAGAAGAGAAAAAACAAACTAGTATATAAAGCAAGGAGAAACTCACCGCAAAGCACGTAAAAAAATAACAGGGCGACGCCATATAGCAGACGAGACGCCATAGTTGCTACTTCCTGAACGGTTTCTCAGACTCCAGAGATCCAATCTGAGAAGAAACAGGACGAGCTTTACTGCATTAGATAAACATTGCTGCTGGTGTAATCATTCCACCCTCTGGAATCAAATTCCGATCAGGTCGATCCAGCAAAACAGGGGACGTCACCTAGCTGACCTGACTGGTGCCAGCCGGTGAGGCTTCTCGAAGCCATGGACGACGGTCCAATCTTGACCGCTCATTTGCGCGGGCTTTCGAAACTGACGAATGTATGTCAGAAGGTCGGTCGGTGGTGATTGGTTTTAGGTAATCACGGTCTCCCCGCACTGTGTTGCACTCTGCTCTCGCAATGTGGTTACCAGAGGCAGCATCGTTCCGAAGAAGCCCCTGCAAGCATTCGTGTCGTTCGCAAACGTCGCAGAACCTTCGGCTGACATATTGAACCGTGATATGTTGAAACGATTGAAAAGAGCCAACGACTGTACACCAACCAAATTCGTAAAATCTTAAAGCTCAAGACCCAAATTGCGCAAGATTACTAATCTTGCGTAAGTTTGAGTGCTGAGGGGTGGGTAGAGTCGAGGAGAGTGTTGGGAAGGTGACCTGTCTGATTTCGCCCGTAACACTTGGTTTTTTCGCTGAGTCAGCGAACTTCAGGGGGAAACGTGGGTTTGGGGACCTGGAGTCCCAAATTGCATAGTAAAACTCGATGCTTTGGCAGTGAGTCTGGCTTCGACCAATCAGATTGCATCTCACCTATTGTAACCAAATTTTCGCCACACACCAGCACAGAAAACGAGAAGTGTGCAAGATTACTAATCTTGCCCTGCGCGGCCCGCAATTTGGGCCTTGAGCTTTAATTCTAGCCCACTAAACCTTTCTTCTTGACACCACACTCCACCAGTAAACCGTGTATAACCGGGTTTCACGTCACTGCATCTTCTCCAAGCCGCTTTACCACACGCGCTCCATTAGCAATTATCATCCGAAGAAAAGCAGCATCACGACTTCCACTAGCTTTGGATTAGTGGAACGTGCCATTACGTTGAATTCAGGTTTTTTTTTTAGAGCTGCGTGTCGCTGTTGATCCGTCACGGCAAGTGGTGGGTCCATGGGGGACGAGTATCATGAATCCTCACTCACAGTGGCTGGGGCCGCTGAAGGCGGAACGGCAAAGGAGAGCTTCGCGCTCACGGTGAAAAAGTAAGGGGTTCTTGTTTGAGATATGGTATAAATGAATTCTGACGAGAGCAGACCGGCGAAAAGTCACGAAAATCATAATAAATAATGTCAGACACCCTTCTGGTGAATCGTGCAGTTCTGGTGTTGCAGCTGTACCTAATTTCTACTGTAACAATTGCAGCGGCAGCTGGTGCTACAGCTGCAGCTCTTTATCTGGTGTTTCAGCTCCGGCTCCTTATCTGGTGCTACAGCTGCAGGTCTTCATTGGGTGTAAATTCTGTGCTTCTCACTTGGTCGGTCTTGGCAGCAATTTCGAGAGCCTCCATCAACGAGGCTTCGCTCCCAACGACGCTGCAGCACTTGCTCTGAAGATCGCCATGGGGAAAGGTTCGTGCACATGCATGCTCCACCTCTTCATGGTGCTATGGATTCTCCTTTTCCTCCCCTTCTTTGTTCTCTTGCACTTCGTTCCCTCCTCGTTCTCATGGGCTGTTTTTGTTAAGCGGCTGCTACTCCTGCCACCTGTTCGTTGCTTTTGGGGCCCCTCAAAAGTCTAGGGTGTTTTTGAAAAAGTGCGAAGACATTCGTACAGTCTAGGGTGCCTGCTAAGAATCCTCAACAGCACCCTCAAAGGTCTTCTGCCGGCACCTGTCTGTTACTTCTTTTCTTTGTTTTTATTGTCAGGTCATCCTCACCTCACCTCTATGATTTCCCCCCTTCTGTTTTCGGTTCATTTGAGATCTCAGTACACCCGATGAAGGCTCAGGACCTGTCCTTCCTATTTAACTTCTAATCTCATCTATCACATAATCCCGCTGCTGCTCACTTGATACCCACTCGTTCGTGCCCATCCTCCTCCGCCCTCATGCTTGGGTTCGCTTGTGTCACCCCCACCCACCCCACCTCCAGCGGAGCTGCTAGCAGCAATCTCCAAGGCGCGTGCCAGCAGGGCAGCGAGGGCCAGCGGCGCAGCTCAGGACAGCCGCCACATGGCAGAGCTGATCCCCAAGGTGCTGTCGTCAGCAGACGCTGTGAGCCTGGTGTTCCTCGCCATGCCGGAAGGACTTTCCAAAGGCAACCTGCTGGGTGAGTGAGAGACTGTGGGAATTGTTTGTGTTGGATGAAGGGTGGGTGATTGACGGAATGTGGTACGGGTGTGGTGGATGGAGGGGTTGCAGTTGCGGGCTCTGAGTGGATCGTTGGGTCGGCAGTAAAATCTGTGCGCCTGGTTTTCCTGGCCTGGCATGCCAGAAGGGCTCACTTAAGGCAAGGCAACCTGCTGAGCGTGTGGGTGGGGAAACGCTCTAGTTGTGAGAGTTTTGGGTGCAGGGGTTAATTTCGGGCATGTCTGGATGGGAATGGGGTTTGGGGTGTTGGTTGGGAATGGAGGGATGGCCATGGCTGAGGGGAATGTCCTGGGCTGGGCCGGGCCTTACCCTCCATGTCTCTTCCTTTTGCGTATGTGCTATCCTCTCATCCTTCTCCTGATGCGCTCGTCACCTCTTGTTTCCACCACTTGACCAGGAATTGACACTGCGACTGTAAAGCTGTTCTACGACGGAGTGGCAAATCTGGTGAGTCCATCCAGGCTTCGTTCCTTCCTAGAGCACCATGCCCATGCCATGAGGATTGTTTGTGCTGCGCCCCTGTCACTCACCCTTGTGATCTGATCGCCCTCTCTTTTTTTGTCTCGACCTCGCTTTTGTTAGGAATATCCACGCCCCTTCAAGCCAAATTTTCGCACCTCAACACCATGCTCACTCAGTCACTCACTCACTCACTCACTCACTCACTTACTCACTCACTCACTCACTTACTCACTCACTCACTCACTCACTCACTCACTCACCCACCCTCTCACCCACGCCATCCCCCTTCCCCCCGCACCACAGGGCGACGAAGTGGCAGCAGCAGTGGTGCGAGCAAGCGATCGACTGCTGTCAGAGCTCGCCCACGCCATGCCCCCCGCCCCTTCCTTCCGCCACTCTCCCCCACTCTTTTCGCTCTCTCAAGCACTCACCCGCCCTCTCACCCACTCTCCCCCCCCCCCCCCCACCCCTTCCCCCCACACCACAGGGAGACGATGTGGCAGCAGCAGTGGTGCGGGCCAGCGACCGACTGCTCTCAGAGCTCGCACAAGCCATGCCCTCCGCGCCCTCCTCCACTCTCGCCCACCACCTCCCCACTCCCCCGCGACCCTCCCGCCCCCCTGCCCTCGTCTCTCTCCCCGTGCCTGCCCCTGCTACCACCGCCGCTACCACTGCTGCCACTGCTGTCACCACTGCGACCGCTGCCACGGCTGGGAGTGAGAGGGATGATGGCACTTCCACCGCTGCTGCCACCACCGCCACCAGTGCCATGGACGTTGATTCCCAACCTGCACTGCCGTCTACCGCCGCTGCTCCACCTTCCGAAAGCCCAGCCAGCGAAGCCCCCGCGAGCGCAGCAGCTGAAGTGGACACAGGTGCAGGGGGGGCAGTGGGGGCAGGTGCAGGTGCAGCAACTGTAGCAACAGCAGGGGCGGCGGCGGCGGCGGCAGGAGCAACGGCAGGGGCGTCGGGCAGTGCGAAGAGGAAGGTGGACTCATTGGCTGCCGCAGCAGCAGAGGGGGGCGGGCGAGACTCGGATGAGCCGTCGCCAGCTGTCATGCGCTCGCTGCTCTTCCTGCTCGACGTGAGTCACGCGGCGCTTGTGAGAGTTTTCAGTAGTGACACAAGCATAGCCGTCTCCCGCTGGCATGCGCTCCCTGCTCTTCCTTGTCGATGTGAGTCAAGCGGCCGTCATGCTCCTGATTGCCACACTGCTCCTGCCTCTCACACATCCCCCCAGAGCCCTTTCCTCATGGAGCCCGAGAACCATCCGCTGTACCGCCGCCTGTGCAAGCTGCTGCTGGACCTGTGTTGCTTGTGCTTCTCCTGCCCCTCGTCTGTCTCCTCCCCCTCTCCCCAGAGCCCTTTCCTCATGGAGCCAGAGCACCAGCCGTCGTCCTTTTGACAGTCCGCTTGATCTGTGCTGCTTGTGCTTCTCCTGCCCCTCCTGCCCCTCGTGCTCCTCCTCTGTCTCCTCCACATCCCCCCAGAGCCCTTTCCTGATGGAGCCCGAGAACCATCAGCTGTACCGCCGCCTGTGCAAGCTGCTGCTGGACCTGCCCCCGCTGCCCCGCCAGCAGCTCATCTGCACCCTCGCCAGGCGAGTATTCGTCCCGTGCATGGCGTTGCTTGTGCTGTTGCATGTGCACCCTCGCCAGGCGAGTGCAGTGCTTGCGTCCCTTGCCCCACTCACGATGCAACGTTCGATTCGAGGCGTTCCAAAAGTAGCCGCCTGTGCAAGCCGCTGCTGGACCTGCCGCCGCTGCCCCGACAGCAGCTCATCTGCACCCTCGCCAGGCGAGTATTCGTCCCGTGCATGGCGTCGCTGGTGCTGATGCATCATCACTCGCGCCAGGCAAGTGTATGCATCCCTTTCCCCACTCACGAGGCGACCTTTGAGGCGCCTCAGAAGTCGCCGCCTGTGCAAGCTGCTACTGGACCTTCCTCCGCTGCCCCACCAACAGCTCATCTGTACCCTTGCCAGGCAAGTGATTGCGTCCCTCCCTTGCATGGCGTTGCACTGTTGCACCCTCGCCAGGCAAGTTTCCGTCCCTCCCTTGCGGCTCTCCCCAGGCGAGTATCTGTCCCTTGCATGGCGTTGCACTGTTGCACTGTCGCAAGCACCGATCCTGCTACCCTTGCTCCCTCCTCCCACGAGCCTCCGCTGCAGTCTGTTAGGTCCCTGCAAAGGCACCACTCTTGCTATACCTACTCCTCCCCTTCATCCCTGCAAGCTTCTACGAGCACGGGCACCTAAAGTACAGCACGTGATCACCATCCATGCTTCCCACCCTCCTCTCTCCTTCCCTCCCTCCCTCTCTTGAGTCGACTCAAAAGTCACCTCGTTACAATGGCACACGACACATTTTGAGTCGACTCTAAAGCAGGTGGGGGCGATGGCACAGCACGTCATCACCATCCATGCTTCCCACCCTCCTCTCTCCTTCCCTCCCTCCCTCCCTCCCTCCCTCCCTCCCTCCCTCCCTCCCTCCCTCCCTCCCTCCCTCCCTCCCTCCCTCCCTCCCTCCCTCCCTCCCTTTCTTCCTGACTGCCTCACTCCCTTGCTCTTCACCAGCTCCCCACAACCAAGCAGTTTCGAGCGCGGGCATCTACAGCAGGTGATGGAGACGGTTGGGCGGCGCAGCACGTGATCACCATCCATCCCTCATTCCCTCCCTCCCTCCCTCGCTCCCCTGCTTCGTCCTTCCCCCGCTTCTCACCACCTCTTCAAATCAAGCAGCTACGAGTGCGCGCATCTACAGCAGGTGGTGGAGACGGCGCAGCATGTGATCACCATCCAGCTCTACGAGGCCCACAAGGACAGCAATGTGGCTCGTGGCCGCCTTACTCTGCTCCCCCTTATTCCTTTCACCCTCACTGCAGCTACGAGCGAGGGCATCTACAGCAGGTGGTGGAGACGGCGCAGCATGTGATCACCATCCAGCTCTACGAGGCCCACAAGGACAGCAATGTGGCTCGTGGCCGCCTTACTCTGCTCCCCCTTATTCCTTTCACCCTCACTGCAGCTACGAGCGAGGGCATCTACAGCAGGTGGTGGAGACGGCACAGCATGTCATCACCATCCAGCTGTATGAGGCCCACCGCCTCGTTGACACTGTCAAGCTCGCCACTCGCGTACTCGGGATATTCTGTGAGTGCTGCTCCTGCTGTTCCTGCTCCTTCTTCTGCTACTGCTGCTGCTGCTGCTGCTGCTGCTGCTGTTGCTGCTTCTCCTTCTGTTTCTGCTCCTGCCGTTTCTGCACCTTGCTGTTTCTGCCCCTGCTCCCACCAGTGCCTTGTGTGGCCCTCTGCCCTCACTGCTGGTTGCTTGCAGTCGCAGCAAACGAGAAATGTCATCAGCTGCGCTCCCTTTGCTCTCTGCTCTTCATTCATCCCCCCTCCACCTTGTGTGCCTCTCTGCCCGCACCACTGGTGCCAGTCGCGGCGAACGAGAGGGGCCATCAGCTGCCGCACTCGGCGTTCTACAACGATGCCCTCAACAGTGATGAGTTTGTTGACCTGGAGCAGGACTACAGCAAGTGGAAGCACAGAGACAGGTGGGTGGGGTGGGGTGGGGTGCGGTGCAGTGCGGTGCTGCACTCTTACAACGATGCCCTCAACAGCGATGAGTTCGTTGACCTGGAGCAGGACTACAGCAAGTGGAAGCACAGAGACAGGTGGGTGCGGTGGGGTGCGGTGTGGTGCGGTGGGGCGAACGAGAGGGGCCATCAGCTGCCGCACTCGGCGTTCTACAACGATGCCATCAACAGTGATGAGTTTGTGGACCTGGAGCAGGACTACTCCAAGTGGAAGCACAGAGACAGGTGGGTGGGGTGGGGTGGGGTGCGGTGCAGTGCGGTGCTGCACTCTTACAACGATGCCCTCAACAGCGATGAGTTCGTTGACCTGGAGCAGGACTACAGCAAGTGGAAGCACCGAGACAGGTGGGTGCGGTGGGGTGCAGTGCGGTGGGGAGGGGTGTGGTGCGGTGGGGCAAATCAGAGGGGCCATCAGCTGCCGCATTCAGCGTTCTACAACGATGCCCTCAACAGCGATGAGTTCGTTGACCTGGAGCAGGACTACAGCAAGTGGAAGCACAGAGATAGGTGGGCGGGGTGCGGTGGGGTGCGGTGCAGTGGGCTGGGGTGGGGTGCGCACCTGTGGCGAGCCTGTGGACATGGAGCAGGACTACAGCAAGTGGAAGAACAGAGTCGCTGAATCTGTCACGCACGCACACACGTGCTGTAGGGAGTCCTTCACTCACATTCCCTCACAAGCCCTTTTGCTCCTCCCTTCCACCCAGGTATCTGGACCCCTTTACTCTCTGCGACCACCCGTACATTCTCGAAGCGGCCAGCAAGGCGGCGGTGCTGCAGGTGGAGTCACGAGTGGAGATGTCCCACCGCTTCCACGATGCCCTGCTGGGCATGGCGCTGAGCTCAGGGGGCTCACAGGCGCACCCGCACATAGCGAACCTGGACCTGCGCAGCAAGATGCATGTGCTGCTGTGCAGATATTTCTTCGCTCCCTCTCATTTCCCCCCGGTTTTCCTTTCAGGTATCTGGACCCCTTTACTCTCTGCGACCACCCGTACATTCTCGAAGCGGCCAGCAAGGCGGCGGTGCTGCAGGTGGAGTCGCGGGTGGAGATGTCCCACCGCTTCCACGATGCCCTGCTGGGCATGGCGCTCAGAGGGCTGACGGGCGCGCACATGGCCAATCCCTTTTGCGTGTTGATTGTGCGCCGGGATCACATCGTGGAAGACGCTATTCTGCAGGTGGGGGGTGTATTGAGCGAGCATGCTGTGCTGACTTGGCTCTGGCGCTCAGAGGGCTCACGGGCGCGCACATGGCGAACCCGTTCTGTGTGCTCATCGTGCGGCGCGATCACATTGTGGAGGGTGCTATTCTGCAGGTGGGGTGTGTATTGAGAGAGCTTGATGAATGCTCGCTTTCAGTTTTACTTGGCTAGCGTGCTCAGGGGGGTTCTAAGCAGGCAGGCACACTTCTTTCTGCACGCATGCTGCCACCCTCCTTCACTCTCCTTCCTCCTTCCTCCAATCCCCCTCTTTCCCCTCCTGTCCGTTCCTCGTCCCTCTCCCCTCTCACACTCGGCAGCCCAACATGATGGTTCGCCTCCTTCTGTATCTCATTCGTCCTTCCCACTCTCTTCTCCACTCTTCCACTCACCGTCGCCTTACCCTTGTCTCCATCCTCTCCTCATTCCACTCATTCCTCTCCACACTCCTCTCATTCCTCTCCCTATGCCTACAGGTGCAACAGCACGCAGGGGACTTGAAAAAACCGCTCAAGGTGAGAAGCACCACTCAGCACATGTCATTCCACCACCACGATCATCCTCCCCTCCTTCACTCCCATTGTTCCATCCTCACTGTGTGTGCAACCTCTTTCCACAACCCTGGCTTCATCACCCTCGTTCCAATGCCTTCACGCACCACTATGCTTGTCCCATGAGAGCATGCGTGTGATGCCCTCACACCTCCATATGCCCCCTCCCTCCCGCATTCCCCATGCGAGAGCAGGTGAAGTTTGTGGGAGAGGAGGGCGTGGACGAGGGCGGAGTGCAGAAGGAGTTCTTCCAGCTCATCATGCGCGATATCGTTGACGCCAAGGTGAGACATTCTTGACGCCAAGGTGTGTCGTGTGTGGTGCTCAATGCATGCCTCCTCAAAAGGGTGGCGTGCGAAAGGAGTCGCTGAAGGTGGACGAGGGCGGAGTGCAGAAGGAGTTCTTCCAGCTCATCATGCGCGACATTGTTGACGCCAAGGCAAGTCCCGCCCACACCCGTGATGGAGTCAATTGCTTTGTTTTGTGTATCACCCTGGACGGACCTCCAGTGTGCCTCTAGTTTTGAGTCGATTGGAAAAAAGGAGCCTCCAGCAAATACCCTTTTGATGCAACGATGCGACTCATAAGCAATCTACCCTACTCCCTTGCATATCGTTCTAATTCCTTCCTTCTTCTCCCGCCTGCTTGATGTCACAATTATTCCCCCTCCCTTCTGGTCTACCCGTCTCATTCTCGATCTTAATTTGCAGTTTGGCATGTTCACGTACAACGAAACAACGCGCTCCTTCTGGTTCAGTGCATCCCCCATCGACATGCCACTCGAGTTTGAGCTCGTCGGCACCGTGCTGGGACTAGCCATCTACAACGCGCACATCCTCGATATAAGCTTCCCCCTTGTCGTCTACAAGAAGCTCCTGGGGAAGAAGACCTGCCTGGACGATCTCGCAGGGGTGAGTTGAGTTGCCCCTCCAGCCTTCGTTCTCTCTGCTGCTTCTCCCACTACCCCTTCTCCCACTACCCCATCTCCCACTACCCCTTCTCCCACTATCCCATCTCCCACTACCCCTTCTCCCACTACCCCATCTCCCACTACCCCTTCTCCCACTACCCTTCTCCCACTACCCCTTCTCCCACTACCTCTCATTTCTGTGTGTGTCCCTGACCCGCCTCTGACTGACTGTCCCAGACCTCTCCCTGACCTATCCCTGACCTCTCCCTGACCTGTCCCGGACCTATTCCCGGACCACCATTGCAGGTGGACCCGGACCTGCATCGAGGGCTCAAGGGGCTGCTGGCATTCCAGGGCAACGTTGAGGTGAGCGAGGGCAGGTGCTGTGCACACAGGTGAAGGGGGGGGAGGGCTAGGAAGAGCAGGGGAAGGCAGGGGAGGGGAGGGGAGTGAGTGCGTGCATCTTGTACCATCATGGTGCTTCGAGGCATCGTACACGTGTTTGGCTCGCCCACCACAGTGCCAGGGAGGGAGGTGCATGCTGTCTGGTTTCGGCATCTGATTATGCTCTCCTTACCCCTTTGCCTCCCACCACCACACACACGCTCATCAGGAGGTGTACTCGTGGTGCTTCGAGGCATCATACACGAACGTGTTTGGCTCGCCCACCACGGTGCCAGGGAGGTGCATGTTATCTGGTTTGGACACCTGACCCACACAACCCAACCCAATACACACACTCACACACACACTCACACACACTCACACACACACACACACACACACACACACACACACACACACCAATCAGGAGGTGTACGTGTGGTGCTTCGAGGCGTCGTACACAGACGTGTTTGGCTCGCCCACTGCAGTGCTGGGGAGGTGGATGCTGCCGGACTGGTGGGCTTGCTTGTGGCACTTAATTATGCTTCTTTCCCCCTCCCCTGGGCCTCCCCCCTGCACACATCATCAGGAGGTGTACTCATGGTGCTTGGAGGCATCATACACGGACGTCTTTGGCTCGCCCACCACGGTTCCGCTCAAGGACGGTGGCGAGAACCTTCCTGTCACCAACAGCAACCGGGAGGAGTTTGTGGAGCTGCTGGTGGACGTGAGTACTCAGGGTTTATGGCTTTATGGCTTTATGGCTTTATGGCCCTGGTTTATGGCTTACGGTCAAGGGGTTACGGGTTTAGAGTCAGGACGGGTCAGGGCAAATCAGGACCGGTCAGGGCGGGTCAGGGCGGGTCAGGGCGGGTGAGGATGTCCATGCCCCACCTCAGTGCCACCTCTCTCCCCCCTCTCTCCCCCCCATGGCCCCCACACCCCACCTCAGTTCCACTTGAACAAGCTAATGGAAGCCTCTTCTCCCAATGCTTCCTGCGGCTCCCATACTCTTCCCCAGCTGCCCCCCCCTGTTCTCCCCTTCTCTGCCCCCTTCACCCCATGGCTCCCCCTTCACCAAGCCACCTCACTTCCATCTGAACAAGCTGGTGGAACACCTTCTCACGTCGCTTCCTGCACCTCCCATACCCTTGTGCCCCTTTGCCCCCTTTCCCCCCCCTGCCCCCAATTGTTCCCCTGGGTCCCGTCTGAACAGGCTAGTGGAGAGGCAGTTCGGCACCTTCTCCCACGCCTTCCTGCTGCTGTGCTGTGCGGGGGCCGGTGCTGCACATGTCACGGCGAACCAGACCCTATTTGCACCCCCCTTTTCCCCCACGTCTCTCACTTCCATCTTCTTGCGGCTCCCATCCCATGCCCTTCTCCCCCATCGCCCCCCTTTTGCCTCCCTGCCCCCACATCCCTCATTTCCATCTGAACAAGCTGGTGGAGCGCCAGTTCGGCCCCTTCTCACACCACTGACTCTTCTTCCCCTCCCCCTCCCCCTCCCCCTCCCCCTCCCCCTCCCCCTCCCCCTCCCCCTCCCCCTCCCCCTCCCCCTCCCCCTCCCCCTCCCCCTCCCCCTCCCCCTCCCCCTCCCCCTCCCGCTCCCCCTCTCCCGTCCCGCTGCAGTTCCATCTGAACAAGCTAGTGGAGCGGCAGTTTGGCCCCTTCTCCCGCGGCTTCCTGCGCCTATGTGGCGGCCCGGTGTTGCGTCTATTCCAACCGGACGAGCTCGAGTTGCTCATCTGTGGCAGCCCTGTGTTCGACTTTGAAGAGCTGTGAGTGCGCATACTTGCTGGGATGAGGTGCACGTTGCAGGCCATGGGTCTGTCCGCGGTTGGTTGGTTGGCTGAGGTAACGCACAGCTCTGAGGTGGCAAGCTTGAGTGCAGGCCAGTGTTCCTCTGCACTCCAGCTTTTAAGGCGCCTCAAAAGCCATCGTTGCAGGCCATGGGTTTGTCCGTGGTTGGTTGGATTGCTGCAGTGTTCCTCTGCACTCCAGCGTGCCACCAGAGCTGTGCGTGAGTTACCAGAGCTGCAGGGTATTTTTGAGAATTCTCCAGGGTATTTTTGAGAATTCTCCAGGGTATTTTTGAGAATTCTCAAAAATAGCCACCAGAGCTGTGCGTGAGTTACCAGAGCTTGCTGGGACAAGACAAGCAGCTTGTTTCCTTCTCACAATTAGTGGGTCAGACACTTGACTTCTGCGGCTGTTCTACCTCTGCTTCGTTTTTTTAGGCGCCTAAAAAATACCTTATGGGGCTGATCTACCTCTGCTTCGAGTCCCTGCTATGTTCTGTGGTGCTTACTTGGCTCTTCATTAGTTGGATTCTTGCTGTTTATCTGTCCACGTGTGAGTGCAGGGAGAGGAATGCGCGGTATGAGGATGGGTACACCAAGGAGTCTCCCGTCATTAAGAACTTCTGGAAGGTAATCCATGTTCTGGCGGTCTGATGTTCAAAGGTGTTTCATGTGACCATGCTGTTTCATGTGACCATGCTGTTTCATGTGACCATGCTGTTTCATGTGACCATGCTGTTTCATGTGACCATGCACGGACTAAGGACACACCACCCTGCTCGTGTTGCCCCATCACGACTTCCCCTCTCACCTCTCGTTATTGCAGGGATTGCGTGTGTGCGCGTGTTTCACTCGCCTCACTGCTCCTCGCGTTGGTCAATTTCCTCTCACCACCACCTTTCAACCTCACCTCTCCACCTCCCACCAGGTGGTGCATGGGCTGCAGGACGTGGAGAAGAGGAATCTGCTGGCGTTTGTGCTTTCAAACCTCCAACCCTCTCTTGCACCTCTCATTCCCCCTCCCACCTTCTCTAACCTCTCACCCACATCCCACCAGGTGGTGCACGGGCTGCAGGATGCAGAGAAGAGGAATTTGCTGGCGTTGATTCGTTCACACCTCCAACCCTCTCTTGCACCTCTCATTCCCCGCTCTAACCTCCCCTCTCCCCCTCCCACCAGGTGGTGCATGGGCTACAGGGCGTTGTTGCCGCTGCTGCTGAACCTCCAACCCTCTCCTGCACCACTTGCCTTTACTCCACTCTCCCTCTCCCGCCTCCCACCAGGTGGTGCATGGGCTGCAGGACGCAGAGAAGAGGAATCTGCTGGCGTGTGTACTGTTGAGTCTACCACCTGAACTCCCAACCTCCCACCCACCCTGACAGGTCCCACCCACCTCCCCCTTCCCGCCTCGCCCCATCCCCCCACATCCGAATCCCCCCCTCCCACCAGGTGGTGCACGGGCTGCAGGACGCGGAGAAGAGGAGTCTGCTGGCGTTTGTGCTTTCAAGCCTCCAACCCTCTCTTGCACCTCTGATTTCCCCCCTCCCCTCTTCTCCACTCTCCCCTCCCACATCCCACCAGGTGGTGCATGGGTTGCAGGACGCAGAGAAGAGAAATCTACTGGCGTTTGTGACGGGGTGCGACAGGGCGCCCATCAAGGGCCTCGCCTCGCTCCCCTTCGTCATCTCCCGAGCGGGTCAGTGTTGCTGCGTTGCTGGTGGGTGTGCATGTAGTGAGTGTGCTAGCCGGTCATGTGCATGTGCATGTGCTGCGGGTTTTGAGACGTCTCAAAGTTTTGCCTCGCTGCCCTTCGTCATCTCCCGAGCAGGCCTGTCGAAGTCCCTGGGCCCAAAACTTTGAGTCTTGAGCTGCTCGAATTGTGGCCCTGATTTTCACGGGCGCAAGCCGAATCTAAAACTTGAAATCCGGGCTACTTAGGAAAGTGTACTTTAGCCCTATTACTTTGCAGGAGGGGGATGTTAACCTATTACTATGCAGAAGGGAAGAGCATACTCACTGCTCATCTGCACACCTACAGCCTATTCATCGTAGGCAAGAACAACGGGAGGGAGGGGGGAGAGGGGGGGGGGGGGGGGAGTGGGGGCGGGAAGAGGGAAGGGGAGGAAGGGGCAGGAATTGGGGGGCGGGGTCCTTCGAAACAGGAAACCAAAACTTGGATTCAGGGGAAGGGCCGAACGAGGCCCCTAACGTGCACGGGTGCCCTGCAAGTCCAGCACTTTAAATGGTCGAGCTGCCCCGAGCGTGGCCCGGAATGTTCAGGGAATTAAGGACAAATGCCCTTACTTTGACAGCCCTGCTCCCGAGTCGGTCAGTGTTGCTGTGCTGCTGCTGGGTGTGCTTGTAGCGAATGTGCAATAGCACATTGTCCTGTTTTTACAACTTGCCTTTCGAGGTGACCATCTATGCGTTGGTAGAGGGGGTTCAGCTAGCCGTTGTTTGTCTCCTAGTGTCGGGCCGTACGTTTATTATAACTACGGTGAGTCCACTGTTATTGAGTATACAAATAACGTGTTTACTAATAACGAGTACACTATGGAAAAGCCTGATGTCTGTAAGCAAAAACGTATTGGGCATACTTTGATCAGGTGATTATTGCTTTGATAGCTACATGCTACTTGTTCTTTCCCCATTCACCCACCACCTGTCACCACCACCCATCACCCACTCGTCACCACCTCCTTCACTACCACTCACCCCCCATCAGGTCCTGACTCCGACCGGCTACCAACAGCGCACACATGCTTCAACCACCTGCTGCTGCCTGAATACTCTAACCTTGAAAAGGTGGGTCTTGAAGCTCTCTGACTGAACAAGGCAATGCTTGAACCACTCAGATCAAGCTGAGTGTTGAGAAGTCTCATAACAGCACACATGCTTCAACCACCTGCTGCTGCCTGAATACTCCAACCTTGAGAAGGTGGGTCTTAGAGCTTCCAGAACAAGGCAGGGCTTGAAACAACTCGAAACAAAGTTATTCTTAGACCATTTGGCTTCAAGAATTTCCTTGTCGATACACTAGGCCCCTTCTGCCGCTTGTAGACTCGACCTTGGCAAGGTGAGGAGAGCAAGGGGAGGAGAGTAAGGTGAGGAGAGTAAGGTGAGGAGAGTAAGGTGAGGATAGTAAGGTGAGGATAGTAAGGTGAGGAGAGTAAGGTGAGGAGAGTAAGGTGAGGATAGTAAGGTGAGGACAGTAAGGTGAGGATAGTAAGGTGAGGAGAGTAAGGTGAGGAGAGTAAGGTGAGGAGAGTAAGGTGAGGAGAGTAAGGTGAGGAGAGTAAGGTGAGGAGAGTAAGGTGAGGAGAGTAAGGTGAGGAGAGTAAGGTGAGGATAGTAAGGTGAGGATAGTAAGGTGAGGATAGTAAGGTGAGGATAGTAAGGTGAGGATAGTAAGGTGAGGAGAGTAAGGTGAGGAGAGTAAGGTGAGGAGAGTAAGGTGAGGAGAATAAGGTGAGGATAGTAAGGTGAGGAGAGTAAGGTGAGGAGAGTAAGGTGAGGAGAGTAAGGTGAGGATAGTAAGGTGAGGATAGTAAGGTGAGGATAGTAAGGTGAGGATAGTAAGGTGAGGATAGTAAGGTGAGGAGAGTAAGGTGAGGAGAGTAAGGTGAGGAGAGTAAGGTGAGGAGAGTAAGGTGAGGAGAGTAAGGTGAGGAGAGTAAGGTGAGGAGAGTAAGGTGAGGATAGTAAGGTGAGGATAGTAAGGTGAGGATAGTAAGGTGAGGAGTGAGGATAGTAAGGTGAGGAGAGTAAGGTGAGGAGAGTAAGGTGAGGAGAGTAAGGTGAGGAGAGTAAGGTGAGGAGAGTAAGGTGAGGAGAGTAAGGTGAGGAGAGTAAGGTGAGGAGAGTAAGGTGAGGAGAGTAAGGTGAGGAGAGTAAGGTGAGGATAGTAAGGTGAGGATAGTAAGGTGAGGATAGTAAGGTGAGGATAGTAAGGTGAGGATAGTAAGGTGAGGATAGTAAGGTGAGGAGAGTAAGGTGAGGAGAGTAAGGTGAGGAGGGTAAGGTGAGGAGAGTAAGGTGAGGATAGTAAGGTGAGGATAGTAAGGTGAGGATAGTAAGGTGAGGAGAGTAAGGTGAGGAGAGTAAGGTGAGGAGAGTAAGGTGAGGAGAGTAAGGTGAGGAGAGTAAGGTGAGGATAGTAAGGTGAGGATAGTAAGGTGAGGAGAGTAAGGTGAGGATAGTAAGGTGAGGATAGTAAGGTGAGGAGAGTAAGGTGAGGAGAGTAAGGTGAGGAGAGTAAGGTGAGGAGAGTAAGGTGAGGAGAGTAAGGTGAGGAGAGTAAGGTGAGGAGAGTAAGGTGAGGAGAGTAAGGTGAGGAGAGTAAGGTGAGGATAGTAAGGTGAGGATAGTAAGGTGAGGATAGTAAGGTGAGGATAGTAAGGTGAGGATAGTAAGGTGAGGAGAGTAAGGTGAGGAGAGTAAGGTGAGGAGAGTAAGGTGAGGAGAGTAAGGTGAGGAGAGTAAGGTGAGGAGAGTAAGGTGAGGAGAGTAAGGTGAGGAGAGTAAGGTGAGGAGAGTAAGGTGAGGAGAGTAAGGTGAGGAGAGTAAGGTGAGGAGAGTAAGGTGAGGAGAGTAAGGTGAGGAGAGTAAGGTGAGGAGAGTAAGGTGAGGATAGTAAGGTGAGGATAGTAAGGTGAGGATAGTAAGGTGAGGATAGTAAGGTGAGGATAGTAAGGTGAGGATAGTAAGGTGAGGAGAGTAAGGTGAGGAGAGTAAGGTGAGGAGAGTAAGGTGAGGAGAGTAAGGTGAGGAGAGTAAGGTGAGGAGAGTAAGGTGAGGAGAGTAAGGTGAGGAGAGTAAGGTGAGGAGAGTAAGGTGAGGATAGTAAGGTGAGGATAGTAAGGTGAGGATAGTAAGGTGAGGATAGTAAGGTGAGGATAGTAAGGTGAGGAGAGTAAGGTGAGGAGAGTAAGGTGAGGAGAGTAAGGTGAGGAGAGTAAGGTGAGGAGAGTAAGGTGAGGATAGTAAGGTGAGGATAGTAAGGTGAGGATAGTAAGGTGAGGATAGTAAGGTGAGGATAGTAAGGTGAGGAGAGTAAGGTGAGGAGAGTAAGGTGAGGAGAGTAAGGTGAGGATAGTAAGGTGAGGATAGTAAGGTGAGGAGAGTAAGGTGAGGAGAGTAAGGTGAGGAGAGTAAGGTGAGGAGAGTAAGGTGAGGAGAGTAAGGTGAGGAGAGTAAGGTGAGGAGAGTAAGGTGAGGATAGTAAGGTGAGGATAGTAAGGTGAGGATAGTAAGGTGAGGATAGTAAGGTGAGGATAGTAAGGTGAGGATAGTAAGGTGAGGAGAGTAAGGTGAGGAGAGTAAGGTGAGGAGAGTAAGGTGAGGAGAGTAAGGTGAGGAGAGTAAGGTGAGGAGAGTAAGGTGAGGAGAGTAAGGTGAGGATAGTAAGGTGAGGATAGTAAGGTGAGGATAGTAAGGTGAGGAGAGTAAGGTGAGGATAGTAAGGTGAGGATAGTAAGGTGAGGAGAGTAAGGTGAGGAGAGTAAGGTGAGGATAGTAAGGTGAGGATAGTAAGGTGAGGAGAGTAAGGTGAGGAGAGTAAGGTGAGGAGAGTAAGGTGAGGAGAGTAAGGTGAGGATAGTAAGGTGAGGATAGTAAGGTGAGGATAGTAAGGTGAGGATAGTAAGGTGAGGATAGTAAGGTGAGGAGAGTAAGGTGAGGAGAGTAAGGTGAGGAGAGTAAGGTGAGGATAGTAAGGTGAGGATAGTAAGGTGAGGAGAGTAAGGTGAGGAGAGTAAGGTGAGGAGAGTAAGGTGAGGAGAGTAAGGTGAGGAGAGTAAGGTGAGGAGAGTAAGGTGAGGAGAGTAAGGTGAGGATAGTAAGGTGAGGATAGTAAGGTGAGGATAGTAAGGTGAGGATAGTAAGGTGAGGATAGTAAGGTGAGGAGAGTAAGGTGAGGAGAGTAAGGTGAGGAGAGTAAGGTGAGGAGAGTAAGGTGAGGAGAGTAAGGTGAGGATAGTAAGGTGAGGATAGTAAGGTGAGGATAGTAAGGTGAGGATAGTAAGGTGAGGATAGTAAGGTGAGGAGAGTAAGGTGAGGAGAGTAAGGTGAGGAGAGTAAGGTGAGGATAGTAAGGTGAGGATAGTAAGGTGAGGAGAGTAAGGTGAGGAGAGTAAGGTGAGGAGAGTAAGGTGAGGAGAGTAAGGTGAGGAGAGTAAGGTGAGGAGAGTAAGGTGAGGAGAGTAAGGTGAGGATAGTAAGGTGAGGATAGTAAGGTGAGGATAGTAAGGTGAGGATAGTAAGGTGAGGATAGTAAGGTGAGGAGAGTAAGGTGAGGAGAGTAAGGTGAGGAGAGTAAGGTGAGGAGAGTAAGGTGAGGAGAGTAAGGTGAGGAGAGTAAGGTGAGGAGAGTAAGGTGAGGAGAGTAAGGTGAGGATAGTAAGGTGAGGATAGTAAGGTGAGGAGAGTAAGGTGAGGATAGTAAGGTGAGGATAGTAAGGTGAGGAGAGTAAGGTGAGGAGAGTAAGGTGAGGATAGTAAGGTGAGGATAGTAAGGTGAGGAGAGTAAGGTGAGGAGAGTAAGGTGAGGAGAGTAAGGTGAGGAGAGTAAGGTGAGGAGAGTAAGGTGAGGAGAGTAAGGTGAGGAGAGTAAGGTGAGGAGAGTAAGGTGAGGAGAGTAAGGTGAGGATAGTAAGGTGAGGATAGTAAGGTGAGGATAGTAAGGTGAGGATAGTAAGGTGAGGATAGTAAGGTGAGGAGAGTAAGGTGAGGAGAGTAAGGTGAGGAGAGTAAGGTGAGGAGAGTAAGGTGAGGAGAGTAAGGTGAGGATAGTAAGGTGAGGATAGTAAGGTGAGGAGAGTAAGGTGAGGAGAGTAAGGTGAGGATAGTAAGGTGAGGATAGTAAGGTGAGGAGAGTAAGGTGAGGAGAGTAAGGTGAGGAGAGTAAGGTGAGGAGAGTAAGGTGAGGAGAGTAAGGTGAGGAGAGTAAGGTGAGGAGAGTAAGGTGAGGAGAGTAAGGTGAGGAGAGTAAGGTGAGGATAGTAAGGTGAGGATAGTAAGGTGAGGATAGTAAGGTGAGGATAGTAAGGTGAGGATAGTAAGGTGAGGATAGTAAGGTGAGGAGAGTAAGGTGAGGAGAGTAAGGTGAGGAGAGTAAGGTGAGGAGAGTAAGGTGAGGAGAGTAAGGTGAGGAGAGTAAGGTGAGGAGAGTAAGGTGAGGAGAGTAAGGTGAGGAGAGTAAGGTGAGGAGAGTAAGGTGAGGAGAGTAAGGTGAGGAGAGTAAGGTGAGGATAGTAAGGTGAGGATAGTAAGGTGAGGAGAGTAAGGTGAGGAGAGTAAGGTGAGGATAGTAAGGTGAGGATAGTAAGGTGAGGAGAGTAAGGTGAGGAGAGTAAGGTGAGGAGAGTAAGGTGAGGAGAGTAAGGTGAGGAGAGTAAGGTGAGGAGAGTAAGGTGAGGAGAGTAAGGTGAGGAGAGTAAGGTGAGGAGAGTAAGGTGAGGATAGTAAGGTGAGGATAGTAAGGTGAGGATAGTAAGGTGAGGATAGTAAGGTGAGGATAGTAAGGTGAGGAGAGTAAGGTGAGGAGAGTAAGGTGAGGAGAGTAAGGTGAGGAGAGTAAGGTGAGGAGAGTAAGGTGAGGAGAGTAAGGTGAGGAGAGTAAGGTGAGGAGAGTAAGGTGAGGAGAGTAAGGTGAGGAGAGTAAGGTGAGGAGAGTAAGGTGAGGAGAGTAAGGTGAGGAGAGTAAGGTGAGGAGAGTAAGGTGAGGAGAGTAAGGTGAGGATAGTAAGGTGAGGATAGTAAGGTGAGGATAGTAAGGTGAGGATAGTAAGGTGAGGATAGTAAGGTGAGGATAGTAAGGTGAGGAGAGT